TTTTTTTTTGATTTTTGGAAGCGTTAACTGTTGGAACATAATTTCTTTCAGCAACGTTTTGTTCAACGTATTTGATGCTTTTTGCATGCATCGATTTGAATTTGATACTGATTGCCGGAAGTTATTAGCAGTAGAGGATATCCCAAAAGTTGTGTCCACTGTAGACAAAGCAACTCAGGCTTTGAGATATCGTTTTCAGCTAGTTGCTCAAGTACGTTGTAGCAAGAATCGTCATTTCTCAAATTCAGTTTCTGTGAGTTTAGCGTATCGCACGATGTAAACAGCTGCAAGACATTAGATTCAGTACAATAGAATCACTGTTGGCTACTTCACGACGACAAAACTCTGTTGTCGTTATTGGGATGCTCACGCAGCAAAAAGTAGGCTATTGCAATAATTTTACCTAAAAAATCTTACTTGATTTTGTACGAATAAATAATGTAAATTCTTTTAATTGTTGGGTTTGATATTTGTTTAGAGCCATTGTTATCATATTGAAGATCTAACTGGTTCTTTGCAAGTGGAGTTCAACGATGAAACTAAATTCCAGCAAGGTATATTCACGGAAAACAGCGTTGCTATCTTTCAGGTACTTAATTTGCCAATAAGTGCAGCTTCAGCGCACGTATTACATCTCCAAAATTTTAGGGGTCATTTGAAGCTTCACTGCTTGTTGTTCGTGAGGTCGCATTTGTGCCTTTGGAGAGTGCTGAAGATACACGCAAGAAATTTGGAAATGTCAATTTTTTTGGTGGTGATGATCCGGTTAGTCGTAGAGGGACAAAAAGTCGCAATGCTTTGATCATTCTAATTTTTAGATAGCCTTCCGCTGCAATGCCAAACTTTGCGTTGCAGAACGTAGTAACCCAAATGCACAGATTGTGATCCTTTCCGAAGTCCACTTAGATGATATTACAGTAAGTGCAGGGATTCTGGAAACATTCTCCTTTAGGTTTAGCTGTTCTCTAGGTTATGAAGGCTGTGCATCAAATGTTATCTGGATTTTCTGGAGATCCACCTTTGGCCTTCATATTTTGCGGAAACTTTTGCTCACGACCTAGACAGCAAGACACGATGGAGGCTCTCCGTATAGGATTCGAAAGGTGAATTTTTTTTATTAATTTTTGTTTCTTATATTGCTTGCACGAGTCTATACAATGTTCATTAACCATGTGTTTTTCTCCTTTTTTTCTCTCTAAAAATCACTATTCATTAGTTGCAATACAAGGTGGATTAATTTGCAGCAACACTAAGAGAATACCCATTCTTTGAAGTTAGAGCTCTCGAAACTAGACATTTTAGGCTTGCAAATCAACTCAATGTTTTTGCCCCTTCGTTCTCATCCACTCACTTTGTATTCGTACCAGGTCCAGATGATCCATGTTTCAATATGGCGAGATCTACAGTATTTATTAGCCAGTTCACCAGTTATGTTTCGTTATTACCTTAATTTTAGGCCCTCCCGCGTCCACACCTTCCTGGAATATTATTCAAATACCTTGAACAATTGCCAAATTGTTTATTTGCGACTAATCCTGTGCGAATACAATACGCTAGCCAAGAAATAATCGTCATAAGGAACAACTTGGTTGAAAAGATGTGCAGGTAACATGGGGCTATTTGAAGTGATTTTAGAAAAAAAAAGGTTTTTTTTGCAGACATGCTGTTAACACAGTTGCTGCTGAAAGCATCGAGAGAAGCTTTGCAAAAACAATCCTGAGTCAGGTACTTTGCTTAATTTTTGAAATATGATGTGCATAATCAGGAAAAAACTTTTAGGCTCATCTTTCTCCTTTACCACCTCACGTAGCTCCGATACTATGGGATTTTGATCATGTAATGGCTATGCATCCAATGCCAGATCTCCTAGTAGTTGCTGATCATTTCAAGTCCTTCGCTGAGATACTGGGAGGTAAATGCTTCTTTATATAGTTCTCTATGAAGGTTGGTCTTTTGTTGCTTTCCTTTCTCTTCGTCCATTGTATCCATTATCATATTGACATGACTTTCAGATACCGTTGTTTGTAATCCTGGATCGTTTTCAAACAGTTCGTTCGGGTTTCATGTCTATCTGCCATTTGAAAGAAAAATCGAGGACAGTGCTATTGATCTGACTTCTGAGCGTAACTAAGAATTTATAATATAAACGCTTGTAAAAGTTTTTAAAAGAAGCTATCGCATATATTCGTGAAAATATTGGACGGATGAATAATATTCGAATTGCTATTCTGAATACTCGATTTTTCATTTCCTTTAGTGAGGCATTTGATCTGATTATTGAGTGATCAAAAGCATTTTTGGTATTTTGAAAGATATTGCTATTCGAATAGTCGAATGTATGCGTGCTTTGCCAAAGTGACTATTCGATTATTCGTGAACTGGCGAATACCCTTTTCTTATATCCATTGTTTAAACTTTCAAATTTTGACGATTACTTATTATTGGTCTCAATAATTACAATGGTTCTACCTTTTCAAGTTTCTTTCAAATTCGATTCTCTCCTTACATATCATGAGCTATGGACGTTTCTCATCTCATTGTTACGTTGTTCTATCTCGCAAGCTTGACGTTCCTTGACTGCGATGAAATCATTCATGTTCCAGCAGTTTTTATTTGCATGAATGTCTGCCTCTCTGAAGTTTGAAATATCTGCGAAGTGTGTGGAAGAAGTTACATTAATGGAAGTGGAGGTTGCAAATTGCCGTGATTTCAGGACAATCAAAGTACAGTGGGAAATTTTGCCTTTAAGAAGGAATATGTCCGATTATATTTATTACACATTGTGAAGTACAGATCGTACATTCATACATTCTTATCTTCCGGTATAGTCGTCTATTAAACAAGATAAACGCATGCGAGTAGCGGGCCGATGCGCCGTCGCTCTGATTTTAAGCGTGAAAATGTAAAAGCAGCGTTTTTGCAGCCCACTAGGATAGGTATGTGGGTTTTCTGAGTTTTTCTTCATATTTCTCTTTGTCCAGAATAGCGTGTGATTAGCCACCCAAGCATGTTTGGTTGCCTATTCTATAATATAAATGGTCCGTCTCTCCTCTCGCGATTTCGTGGATCTACGTTCGTTTTTCTGTGCATCGTAATCCACGCAATCTCGTCGTGTTTTCAATTGTTGATCGACGAAATTCAAAGAAGCAAATGCGATGGCAAGACCTAACAAAGTTCTCCTGCAGTTACAGGAAGAATGCAAGGAAAGAGACCATAGCTTTGCACCTCTTCATATGAAGGGGAGAAGTGCTTTTTTGACAACTTGAAAATTTCAAAAAGCACGATGGATGACCATGAAGTACAAAGACGCAAAGAAAAACGCCCATAAATCCAGGAATTCGCGAACGAACCGATCGTCCTACTTCTCTTATGACCGACAACTTATACCTAAAAAGGTATGGAGAAAAACATGGGGAAAATCCACAGTTACCCTTCTCGTCTGCAACCGATTTTTGAATTTCCCGCGCCCGTAATTCATACTCTGACAATTGGAGCGCGGCGCGCCATCACCGTATGGGCGGAACACGCGTGCGCCGCTGGTATGGCAATGGCGCGCCGCTCGTCGGGTTCCTTAACAATCGCCCGCCACTGGTACAATGAGGAGCCCTTAGGCGCTTATATTGTGCGTCTTGGTCCGTATAAATGGGGTGCGTATCGTTAGGTACCCGATGCTCTCTCGCGCGAGAGCGTGCTAGGCAGTTGGATCTGCCGTTAT